AACAGTGAGCACCCAATAGCAAAGGCTGTGGTGGAATATGCTAAGAAGCTGCGTCAGAAGTATGGCTCTGCTATGGAACATGTAACAGAACCCAATGACTTTGAGGTGCATCCAGGGGCTGGGGTTAGTGGAAATGTTGGGGGAAAACTGGTGTTCGTTGGGAACAAGAGGCTCATGCAGGCTTGCAATGTTCCACTGGACCCTGATGTTGAAGGTTATATGTCAGAAACTGAACAGAAAGCTCGYACATGTGTACTGGTTGCCATTGATAGGAGGATTGCTGGGGCTTTTGCCATAACAGATCCTGTAAAACCAGAGGAAGAACGGGTTGTATCATACCTCCGGTCAATGAGGATCTCAAGCATTATGGTGACTGGGGACCACTGGGCTACAGCAACTGCCATAGCAAAGGAGCTTGGAATTAGCAAGGTGTTTGCTGAAACTGATCCACTAGGAAAAGCTGATAAGATCAAAGAATTACAGGTAAATACATCCAAACACTTGCTGGGCCGGTAATACTTCATATGAACTATAAACCTTCTCCAGTGAATGCATTGAATGATTTAAATGCCTCGTCTTGTATTCTTGTAAGGAATATTGACCCTCAAACAATATGGTTGACTTCTGCTCATTGAGACAACCTTCATATGGATATTCTTTTACAGTTAAGCGACAGTAAGAAGTTGGTTAAGTGGTTATGGACTTTTGAACTACAACACTTGAACACCCGACTAGCAGTTTACACAATAATAGCTCATCCTCTTAGATTAAGGATTCAGTCAACTCAGCTTCAGTTTTGTTGGCATTAAATTTATTATTTATCATATCATTTTTTTCTGGAACATTAAAAAGAAGTGGGGTTTCTTTACATAAAGAGTATACACCATACTCAAAAAAATAAAGGTTAAGCAAATAGAGACTGAAGTTCTAAATCCATGTGCATCCAATCTGATACAAAAAAACAGTCCTGTATAAGCTTTCATTTAAAGTCTCTCATTGATGGATGCCTCTCAACCCAAAGCTCCCTCAATCCTATCTGTCCCACCAATCTTAGATTCAAAGCAGAGTATTATATCAAATAATCACATGACTGCTGATGTTATGCTTCTTAATGACTCTACTAAGCCAGTCACTTGCATGCCAGTTAGTTTATTGATACATATTTCATGTTGTATATGTGATCCATATATCCTAATGGTTGTACAAGTATATAAGTTATACATGTATCTCTAACATTCTCTCATGCTATGACTTAATTAGGCACAACTTAATTTAGGGGACTTGTTGGTTTATTGCTAACATCTTCAGTTCTTTTCTGCCATTATGTCAAAGAAGACTGGTCTGATGGCCTATACTGTGATAGTCCAAAAAATTTTGTCTGGACTCTGACATGATATGGTGATAATGAATTATGCCTGGCAATTGAACCCATCGATTACAAGGCGCCATCTGATTAACTACATGAATTGATGATATGATGTTAGATGTCTATGTACAGCATGTGTCTATGACTGTATTGAATGACTGAAATCAAATCTAATGCCAGATGAAAGGTGTGACTGTGGCAATGGTAGGCGACGGAATCAATGACTCTCCAGCTTTAGTTGCTGCTGATGTTGGCATGGCAATTGGTGCGGGTACTGATGTTTCCATTGAAGCTGCTGATATTGTTCTCATCAAGAGAACCTTGGAGGATGTTATAACAGCCATTGATCTCTCAAGGAAAACTCTCTCCAGGATCCAGCTGAACTATGTATGGGCCTTGGGTTACAATGTTCTTGGAATGCCAATTATTGCTGGGGTTTTATTCCCTTTTACCGGAATCCGATTACCACCTTGGCTTGCTGATGCTTGCATGGCAGCCTCCTCACTTAGTGTTGTCTGCTCATCGCTCTTATTGCAGTCCTACAAGAAACCTTTGCAAGCCCAAGACACATGTAGTGTATGAACTGCAATGGTTCCATTTCTGCCAATTGTTACAACAAGGTCTGTACTGGATTTCTGTAAAAGAACATGTAGTTCACCTTTTCAGTGATGCATTTCTCCATCTTTATTAATTTTCTTTTGTGATGTTTGAAACTGAGACTTCCTGGACAAGTATAAGTGGCTTGGCCACAGTCCATCTACAGGACAGACCTAGGTTGCAGTTTTCCAAATTCTGGTTTGATGTTGTGCAGTTATACTTCTTTGGAAAATTCTAAATTGGAAACTGACTCGACCCAGTTTAGGGTCGGAGTGACCAAGTGGATGGTTAATTGTCCGTTAGTCCAGGTTTCGAAACATTTTGGCATCATTCAGGTAAAGACGAGCAGGTAAGTTGGTGGGTCCCACTGAATTGATGGAAACCCACGCTCGGGTGGGTCCCATCAATTTTTACATAGTTTTTTTTTATTAAGAAGCAAGATCCAGAAAAACAAACATACAACATACAGCAGTTAAGAACTAACCAAGTCTTGGTTAGCTAAGAGTTGAATCCATTCAGGCGGATCCTCTAGGAAGAATCCAGATTCCTTCAGCCCTTTCCTAGCTAACTTATGGGCTACCACATTTCCACACCCGCCAACATGCACAAAGTGAGTAGAAAGTCCAACTGTACACATGAGAATGTCCATGCACAAAAAACTTGCATCCAAAGCCAGGTCAACTTTCCTCACATTCAAAGCTTGGACTAACGATAAACTGTCTAATTCCACCAGAATAGCCTTGCCCTTGTAACTGTTCAGCATTTCCAAGATCCTTAAGATTGCTAGAGCTTCTGCTTGTATTGGGGATGCCGCAGTAGACTTCCCAAAAACAGCTGCTAGCACAGTCCCAGAAGAATCCCTCAGGACAGCCCCAAAAAACAATTTAAGGACTTCTGGCCCTGGAGCTTTCCAAAAAACAACTACCCTTGCTTCATTGCCGTGTTACTGACGAGAAGAACCTTGCAATCCGGCTTGGGAAATCTTCTGCCTCTCTCTCCACATCCTATATAAAACAGACAGATTAAAGCTCGGGTTTGGGTCAATGTTTTCAAAAACCTTCCAATTCCTGCTTTTCCAAATAATCCACATAGTCAAAAAAGATAGAGAAATCATATCATTTTTAACATTTTTATTAGATGAACACCTGGTGAACCAAACAGAAAGCCACTGTTTAAAGGAGCTTAAATGACTCCCATTCAGAATTCTAATTCCCATATGACTACCAAACCACACAGCTTTAGCATGAGAACATTCAAAGAGACGGTGCGTAATTGTTTCAGAGCTTCTGGAACAAACAGGACATGTAGCATCAGAAGCCAATTTTCTTTTAACAAAATTCTCCTTTACCGCAATTGCATTTACACAACATTTCCGGATGAAGTTTTTAATTTTTGGATCAATTTTGGCTTTCCATAATTCTGACCACTGACTCTTCTTTAGCTCCTCATCATTTCCACCTTCTTCCCTAGAAGGAACCCTTCCACTCTTCAAGGCTTTTAGGGCATAATAACCAGATTTTACTGTATAATGTCCATTTGGATTGAGAGTCCATCTGAGCTTATCCTCCCACTGACCCTCTGAAAATTTTATACTAAGAATACTTCTTGCAATTTGGTCACAGAAATTGGCCCAAATTAATCTCTCATTCCATCGTCTTTCATTTCCATCCAACAGATCCTTCACCCAGAATAAGTTAGGATTGTTTGGTCAGGGGCCTGTGATTTTGAAGGACTTAATATTTTGTAGCCAAGAATCATCCCATACCCTGACCTTTGTATCAAAACTTATTGCCCAACAGGCTCCTTTTTGGATTACCTCTCTAGCTGCTAGGAGACTCTGCCATCCCCAAGACCCATGTTTTGGAAATTTGTTAGTTAGGAAATTTTTCTTTTTTATATATCTGGCTCTGATCACCTTAACCCACAGGTTGTCCTCTTCCTTGCAAATTCTCAAAACTTGCTTGGCTAGAAGGGCCAAGTTGAAGAGGTAGGGGTCCCTGAATCCCAAACCACCAGCTAATTTATTCCTATTCAGTCTTTACCAGTAGACCCAATGGGTTTTCCTAGTTCCTTGGGATCCCCCCACCAAAATTTTGTTTGGATATTTTTCAACTCATTACAAACACTTTTGGGAAGTAAAAAACATGGCATAGTGTAATTTGGAATAGCACTAGCTATAGCCTTGATCAAAACTTCTTTCCTTACTTGTGAGAACATAGATTCATGCCACTTTGACAGGAGTTTCCCCACTTTTTCAATTAAGAAGTTAAATAGGGTTGGCCTTCCTAACTTGGGTAGGCAGCCCCAGGTAAATAGAGGGAGTGTGCACTCTCCTCATTTTCAGAAATCTGGCCAAGATTCTTTGAATTTTGGGGTGCAAATTCCTACTGAAGAAAATTTCAAACTTTGAGAAATTTACTTGTTGACCAGAGCTTTCCTCATACACCTTGATAGTGTCCAGAAGAGCCTTCCCTTCTCCCAAGTCTGCCTTAGTGAATATGTAACTGTCATCTACAAAAAACAAATGAGAGACAGTTGGGCTGTTCTTGGTGATGGAAATACCTGAAATTTTCTTTTGGTGTACAAGTTCTATCAGCTTAGTAGACAGGACTTCTGAACAGAACATAAACAAGTAAGGGGAGAGATGGTCCCCCTGCCTCAACCCTCTTTCAGGAAAAAATTTTGATCCCGACCTTCCATTAACTATCACTCTATAGGAGACTGTTGAAACACATTGCATTATCCAGTTCACCCAATTGGCCCTAAAACCTAATTTGAAGAGCACTTATTCTAGAAAATGCCACTCAATTCTATCATAAGCCTTACTCATGTCCAGCTTTAGAGCCATCCAGGGAGTTTTACCCTTTGTTTTTCTCATAAAGTCAATTATTTCATGGGAAACTAGTATGTTATCTTGTATACATCTCCCAGGAGTGAATGCACTCTCATTTTCACTAATCAGATTCCCCAAGAATGGTTTAACTCGGTTCACCAAGACCTTAGCTATAATCTTATAAACTATATTGCACAAGCTAATAGGTCAGAACTGAGTAGGATTTTTAGGGTTCATAACTTTTGGGATTAGTGCAATGTGGGTTTCATTAAACACTCTTAAAATTCTACTTGTGACAAAAAAAAATTTAACTGCCTTTACAATATCCTCTCCTACAATACCCCAGTACTTTTAGAAGAACAGGTTTGAAAATCCATCAGGCCCCAGAGCTTTCCTTGAAGCCATTTGGAATAAAGCATTTTTTATCTCATCATCAGTTACATCTGAATCTAGAAGATCTCTGTCCATCACATTTAACTTGGGCGTCACACAGTTTAGTAAGCTATCATGGATTCTTAGGTGTGAGGTCTTGTATATTTGTTGGAAATGGTTCTCCAATTCTTTCACTATCCCCTCTTTTGAAGATACCACCTCTCCATTATCTTTCCTAATAAAAAGGATTCTATTCTTGCTACCCCTTCCTTTTGCAATTGAGCGGAAAAACCTTGTATTTTTGTCTCCACTATTCAGCCAGTTCACTCTTTATTTTTGTTGCCACATGATATCTTCTCTCTTAAGCCAGGCAGCTAGCTCAGTTTCCAGAGTTTTAACTTTGGTCGCATTCTACAAGGGTATGTTTGGTTTAAAGGAAAAGGAAGAGAAAGGTAGGGAAGATCCCATTGATTGGTTGGGTTGGGTCCTCCTAGATGTGATATTTGACTGATGTTTGGTCCATTTTGCCTTCCACGATTTTGGCTGTAGTCAAATTCAAATTTGATTTGGTTAAAGGTCACTTTTGTTTATAATTGGACTAAACGGGGATCTACTCCTACATAAATTAAATTGGTTTAAATTATATAGTTTTACTAAAGAGTTAGAGGTTCAAGTTTCATAAAAGTTATTTTCAATTCCCTTTATTCATGGTATAGAATGTTAGTCATTTTTTGCTCCTTTTACTAATAACATAATATTTTGAATCTTTGATTTTATTTATTTTTTATTCCAAGGGTTACACAACGAGGGTAAGCCCAACCCATTCCCCCCTAACCGAGTTCGGATCTCCTGCCCACAAGGATCCTACCCACAGGACATTACAGCTGTACATTGGGAACTTCTTATTTACATGTTACCACTCATAGGGAGATATTCCTAATGTACAACTGCAGTGTGTTGTGGGTAGGAGATCCAGATTGCCCCCAATCCAGGTGCTGGCAGGATTCAATCCCAAGTCTCGCTACAACCAGTAGGAGGCCTTCAAAACAAAAAAAGTAGCTGCTACGTCAGTAAAAGTATATTGATTTTTCTAATGTGGCAGCCCTTCTTTCTTTTTTTCTTTTCCTGCATTACCCATCAACCATTATCTCCAAATCTCATTAATCAGATTAAGATAGAGTGGATGTCATGCTGAGGGTACCCAAGGTTGATCATATCAGGAAACTTACACAAAGCATGTCTGTTATTTTCTAACCCCTTCTCCAGTTTCAATGTATTGTTTTGTACATAGACCTTTCCAATTTGTAATATAAGTTCTATAAAAAATAAAAATGACAAAATCCAGCTTGGGCTGTAATCCAAAGCGTACCCGTATCCATTCCATATTTGTATCCAAGTTTTCTGGTGCAATACTCGATACAGATACTTTACTCCTTGTCCAGCACACACCAAAGCAATTGCAGAAAGCCTTCCTCCAGCCATCATATGCGATTAGTCTAGACTCGAAACATTCCCTAACCAGCTCACTGTTTTTTTTTTCTTTTTTCTTTAATTCAGTGTTCCAAATATAAAGTCTATAGACTCTCCACCACACATGGTCTCAAGTTTAAGGTTTCAAAATGAGTTGTTTTCTTTTTTGGTAAACTATAATTTATTAGCATAAATATAAAACATCTTAACCTATTTCCCTTTATTTATTCATTTTTTGTCCGTGTGCATAGTAATAGGTGATACCGAATTGGAATCTGCTCCTCACAAAGCATGCCTCACACCGATCTCACAACCACATCCTTCCCAGTATTAGAAACATCTCTCCATGAATAATAAATACAAACATGAGAGGTATTCCCAATGTGCAGCCAAGACATTCTGTGAGGTTGGTGTGATGC